GGCGCGGAAAGGGACTAGTGAGTGGTGTGTTTAGTTAAGCCTCTGGATTTTTCCTCTTCTTCTGAATGCGGGCAGAACGCTGGTTGCGATGGGCAGACTAAACAGGCGGGATGTTATCATGGTCAGCGGGTAGAAGTCTGTGTTCCAGCTGCGTAGCTTGCGCTTGAGTGTTCGCTGTGGCTTCATTTTCTGTGTTTTTAGACGACATGGCTTTGAGAGGTCTGAAGAGATATAATTAAAGTATTACTTGTCTTTTTAACGCTCTTTTATAGTACAATGCGCACGAACTATACGTTTTTTTGTCGGCAGCGATTAACATCATAGGGAATTTCTTAGATAACAACAGACGTTATTTTGGCCATAGCATACTGATTAAAAGTGACTTCTTGTCTAGTTAACAGTATTCTGCACGTAGTGTTAACTAAATGAGCAAAATAAACAACGTCCAATGTGGGCTGAATCCCCACACAAATTCTGCCTATCAAATTTTCTTAGGTTCACAATCTTCGGTATGCTTTCATACTATGCAGAATGTATAGTACGGCTGTAATCACATAGTCTTACGTTCGATTATGCATTCGAACACGTAATCACGGTAATCCCAAGTTTTTCGTACCATTAATAAATGGCGTGAGAGAGGTTGGAATAAGGCAACAACATATGCAAGTGGACATATACAGTATGGCGTACTCAGCGTAAAACATTTGACAATTTGAAAAAAGACCGGTAATTACCTGCAAAACAACATTGAGAAGGGTTGCAATGCTGTCTACCATGCAATCCAATTTCAATTGGTTTCAATCACGCTAGGATGCTGGGCTTCCTTTTGATCACTGCAAAACAGCTGATACTTTACAAAACGGCTAATGTTATATTATGATTTGGTTTGGTTATGATTTGGTTTGACTTTACAAATTCAAACGTATTTACTGAATAGCGGCACGAGCAAATCCCCTCTTGTACTTATTTGATAGCAACTTACGCATTTTTTAACTTTTTTTCTTATAGGAGGGGTTTATTTCATTTTATAAATTTTCTAAATTGCCAAATGATTTTGAAACCAAATGACTGCTAGAACTGAATTCATGTTTTATAAACTGAGTGCTGTGTTTTTCCTGTTTAAGGAAAAGTGCGTTCATGTTTTGGTTTGTGGAAGTGGTTGCATAACTCTCAAAGACTTTCGCAATAGACATGCATCACTGTCATCATTATTACACTGACGGACACGATGGTTTATGAATGAGCAGCGCACAAATGTAAAAAATTCACAATTTGAATTTTTTTCGAACAGAAGAAAACCCTTTCTTTAAGAGTTAACTTGAAAGAAGGCGTAATTTTGCACCAAATAGGAAAAAAGAGACAATTTTTATGCATGTTTTTCATAAAATATATTTGAATTGATAAACGCAGTCAAATCAATAATAAAAATGCCTATTATATAAGTAGCCATTTTCCAGAATCAAATTTTCGCAGCGGTCAAATAGAAGCTCATCACAGAGTCGGCATCCTAGCGTGAATGAAAGTAATTGAAATTGCACTGTATGGTTAACAGTATTGCAACCCTGCTCAATGTTAGTTTGCGGGTGATTACCGGTATTTTTCAGACTGTGGAATGTGTCATGCAGCACTCGCCATACTGCAAGTTGTCTGACGTGGTAATTCATGTTTGCCCTCGCCGAGCAGCACCGGTTTAGTTGAGATTGACACCCACGCTTTGGTTGCTGGGGCAGTCCGTCGCACGGCTTAGATGACGCATCTTCTTAATAATTCACTTGCCACATTCACTTGAAAGGAGACATTCAGAAATGGCGTCTTCTTTTTCACGATTCTTTAGTTGTTTTTTTTTCCCTCTTGATTGTGTTCTTTATGACATATCCGTCAGGCTGATGGCTAGTTCGAAGCAGGTCCAAGAAAGGGAGCGAGCTTGCCATTTTAATCTCCAGCGTGAACTTAATGAAAGAAGATGTAACAGTTGAATTGTATTTAAAGTGCATCTACATCGTTTTGGGCTGGGGCGAAGACACAAATATCATCGGTATATATATATATCGCCCGTAGTGTTTTTGCTCATGGATCTGGTCGCTGAGTTGAAATGTCTCTAGCTTACCCATAATTATATTTGCCAAGAGAGGGCCGAGGTGCGAGTTCATATCGATGCCATCTTTTTGTCTATATATAGCTTCTCTCAGGAGGTGTTATCGTTTATCTATAAATATCGCTTTGTGCATGCGTCAGACGTCCAGGATTTACTGATGAAGATTTCACGCAGTCAGTCCATCGTCAAAGGTGCCTGTGGGTCCGTCTGTATTTAATGCTTCATTATCTTCTTTCGGTGCACTCACCCCCAGTCCTACAACCCCTGTTCTACGTCTATGTGGACAAAGGACGCAAGGACGCCGAATCGAACGTAAGAAGAGCAAGCAAGCAAGTTGTCAAAACTGGTAATTCATATTTATCCTTGCCGTGCAGCATCGGTTTGGTTAAGAATAACACCCGAACAGTGGCTTCTGGGACGTTAGTTGCACTGCTTATTTGAGGCGTATGCTGTGTAGTTCGCTTAATGCATCCAGAACAATATGAATTTCACGAATAGCGTCTTATTTCCTTCAGTAAATGTGGTGGGTCTTGTTTCTCTCTACATGATATTGTTTATGATGTATCCGTCAGGCTACCCGTTAATTTGAAGCAGGTCCAAGAAAGTAAGCAAGCCTGTCGTTTCCACCACCAGCGTGAACTTAATGAAAGGCGATGTGCTAGTTGAACAGTAGTTAAAAGTGCATCAAGATCGTTTTATGTTGGAACGATGCCGAAATATAATCGATCTATCGACCGTAGTGTTTTGACTCATGGATCTGCCTGCTAAGTTGAAATGTCTCCAGCTTACCCGTGATGATATTTATCAAGAGAGGCCCGAGAGGCAAGTTCATACTATTTGTGTAGATAAAGCCACTCTCACGATGAGTAAGCATGTATATGAAAGTGGCACCTTATGCAAACGTCCGACGTCAATTCTTTACTGATGCACATTCCACGCAGTTATTCCATGGTCAAAGGTGCGTATAGGGCTGCTTGTCCATCAAACTCCTGAAAAGTAAGCAAAGAGGACCGCACAATGAACCGACCGGAGGAGGAGACAGGGTTACCAGGACCCCCTACCATTGAAACAGTTGCCACTTATTGCCACTTCATGACCCCCGACTCCACTCACAGCTAAGTAGCATAAAGTCACCACCATAATTGTCCCCCTGACTCCACCAAAAGCTAATTAGTATACACTGCTATGACTGCACCCCCACCCCATCCGTGTTGACTGCCGCCTCTGATACCTTGACAACCTGCTGACTTCTGACAGTTGATACTCCTGTGGCCACTACAATTACCCTTCTGTTGGTTGCTACTACTTATCTCTGAAGATTGACTCCTGTAAGTGTTTGAAAGGTCATAACAATGTATAGCGTTATCTGGTGATTGAAACGTCTTCCATCTTGTCCGCCAAAATATCTGCAACGCAAAACCTTTTTTATTCATTCTGCAATTCTTCATTCTGCTCCTTTTTCGTTTCCCGCTTTCCAGTTCCTCCCCGCTAGTGATGCTCCATCGCGTCCTCCTCTTCCCCTAGATCGTCGATGTACTCCTCAAAATGATTTCCTACCCATGCATTTGTTTAACTGTTCACTGCTTTCATGATACTCATATCCCGGCTGGTGAGCGGAATAAAAAAAGAATGAAAGCCACGTAAGGATAGGCTGGCTGTTTACTAAAACGTTAGATTATGGTTGTACATGTAATCGAATTCATACCATCTCGTGTAAATTGAAAGAAATTTCAGTTTGCCACATTCCTTTTAAATTATTTCTAGATTTCAAGTGCGACGAGCTGCAGATTGTTTTCGAACTTCTGCTGAACACCTTACGAATTTCACTGTTTTGCTTTGTTTGTCCATAAATACCTATTTCGTTCAACGAACTTACCGAAAACTTAGAAAAGGAAATATCCTTAACGTTATTTACCTAAATAAGAAGTTCTTACACATTCCTCCTTACAAAGCTGTTTGCTAGGGTCATGACTTTAGAATCACTCAACTTATTGTCAACTTATTGCCGCGAAAAATAAAGTTCCACAACAAAAGCCGACAAAGAATACGACTCTGATTAATGAAAAAAATTCAATAACAAGTTACCTCCTCAAAAAGCGTTTTAGTTGAATATTTCGAAGTCGAAACCCTCTGTAGAATACCTTCGTTGAAGATGCAGTCAAGATCAAAATGAGATACATTGACCAGTTTTTTACTTACCTTACAATTAGAGATACATATTCTGCTGGAAATGAAACAACTTACATTTCTATGTAAACTGGAACAGTTTCTTAAAAGTTCCTTTTCTTCAGGGCAGCATTGCTGGACTTCAAATGCACAAGAGTGTTACACAAAATATCCTTCGATATCTTTTAACATGATAATATTTTGCCTGTTTCGTTCTTATTTTTTTATATTCATTGGTATTCATCTTATCGTTGTCATCCTTCCTCAAAGACGACGAAGCAAAATGTTCAAGAAAGTCGACCAATTTATATTGGGACTGAAATTTCGGACACTTGCTTTTTTCCATCCTCAGAGTAACGTGGTAGTTGTTCCTGTTTGCCGGGACTGGTTCAGCCTAGCTGCATGTTTGTTGTTTTATCCGTACATGTTCATAGACCATAGACAGTTTATACTCGAGGCTGGATGCAAGCTGATGTACATGCAACCAAGTGCCAAGGCGTCTGCCTGTTTCACCGACATACCTTGCAACGCAGTCTAGACATGGTATGCTGTAGACCATGGCTGACTGTTCTGTCGACGGTAGCTGGACTTTTGGCACAATAAACTGCTGTCTGATGGTTGATTCTGGCTTGTGAGCCACACCGATCCCGAGTGGATTCAGAAATCTTGAAGTCACCTCGGATACTTTTTTCACATAAGGGATAGCGAGCCAAAACTAGGGGCCATTTCGTTTCGACCACTAAAGGCGGGGCTTCTTACGACACTTGCGTATGAGGGACTTTGGATAACCGTTGGTATCAAAGAGGGCATTTAAGTCTTTAACGTCCTCCTTCTTTCCACTCTCGTCGCTTAAGTGTGCCTGAACGCGTTGAAAGTGGGTCTTAACACAAGTTCGTTTGTGCCAAACAGGGTAATTGCTTCTGAAGTGGAGGATGCGCATTATGTTGGTTGCCATACGACAAACCGCTGTCTTTCAGTTTCGTCACCTGCACATCGAGGAAGGGTAATTGGTTTTCCTCCTCTTCTATAGTGAACTGGATGGCAGGAAAGATGGAATTCAGCTGTGCCTTGAACTCCCGCACTTTGTTCCTTCTGCTGATCACGAACGTGTCGTAAACGTATGTGGCCCAGAACTTCGGGGATAGGAGCAGGTACTCGAGCCACTGCGAAACGGCTTCAGCAATAAGGTTGGAACGTGGTGAGCCCATCAGTGTCCCCTTCTTTTATTCGTAGACTTGGCCATTAAACGGAAGAATGTTTTCAGGTAGAGTCCCAGGAGATCGATAATATCCGTTTGCTTGGGTATTTGGTCGATTTCAGATTGTGGGGCCCAAAGACCAGCTACCGTCGACAGAACAGTCAGGCGTGATCTACAACATACCAAGCCAAGACTACGATGCAAGGTGCGTCGGTGAAACGGCAGACGCTCTGGCACCAGGCTGCATTAGCATCAGATCACAATCAACCGCAAGGATAAACTGCCTATAGTCTATGAACACGTACAGCAGAAGAACCACACCTTCGCCTTCGCTAATGCAAGGGTAATAGGCCGAGCCAATGTAAAGATGGCTAGAATTCTACTGGAATTTGGTCTTTGACTGCCACACATACCAGAGCCAGAGATCTTCATCCTGCTTACCAGACGGTACGCAAACGGCTCGAGTCAGTTCTAACAAGGCCAACCGGACGGCGAAGAACACACAAGCGTGGAGTACATCTGAGATCGAAGGAAGATAGGAGAGGGGTCGGCCAGGGACCAGGTGACCAGCGTGGAACGCGACCTCACCGCTACCGCGCACACGATGTTGACATGAACTCATGCGGGCAGCAACAAGTGATTTTTCCCAGGAAGCAATTGAAAGAGGAAGACTCGATCGCTGGAACAATACGGTTATTCGCCTGACGTTTCCACACCCGTCGCGGAGTCATCACCTGAGACATGAGTAGCAGAAACAGAAATTGACCATCTGACGCAATTCTTCGTCTTCTGCCAAATAATTTTTTTACATTTAAAGGTCAAACATACGAACACACCAAAGGGACGCAGATGGGATCCCTTATTTCCAGTCTCATCGCAGAACTGGTCTTACATGAGCTGGAAAAGTCGCCTTCGACCAATCTGAGCCGGCATTTTGGTGCAGATACGTGGATGACACTTCCGTTATAATCAAACGAAGCAGGCTAGCAGACTTCCAAAACCTATAAACCAGTATCATCCCCGACATCCAATACACAAATGAGGATAAGAGTGCCTGGCAACTACCGTTCCTGGATGTCCTCGTCCCGCGCCGACCCAGCGAGGAACTCAGCATCATGGTTTATAGAAATGCGACTAACGCAACACAGGTTCTCAGCTTCCATAGCAACCACCCACTAACGCATAAACGTGGCTGTATTCCAGCACTATTTCGGCGGGTGAAGACACAATGCAGTGAATCGGAAAGACGAGCGCAAGAATTACGACATCTTCGGGACCAACTTGCCAGGAACGGATACCCGAACAGCTTCATCCACCGATGCCTCCGAACGCGCCCACGGGGAACAAACGAAAGGGGACTACCAACGCTCTGGAACGCTTTACCGTACATTAAAAACGTATCAGAAGCAACCGAGCGTGTCGCTGCGAAACTCGGCGTTGGTATTCCTCACCGCCCGATAACTGCCATGCGTGCACGATCAAAGACCCGCTGGATGTAGGGGAGCAGTCTGGCGTCATTTATCAGATGCCATGTCACGACTGTTCTTGCCATTATACAGGGCAGCCGGGGCGACGACATAGCTCGTGAATAATGAAGCACAAACGGGCAGTGCGGAAAGGCGACCCACAATCCCAGATTGCAAACCAAATTCTGGAAGAAGAA